GGTCGGGGAGGCGCTTCCCCAGACGCTGTCCACTCGCGGACGGTCGGGGAGGCGCTTCCCCAGACGCTGTCCACTCGCGGACGGTCGGGGAGGCGATGCTGTGCAGGGCGTCCCCGGATGAGGACGCTGGGATCAACGGGCCACTCTGCTCTGAGGCAGAAGTCCACGTGACCCCACCCAGCGGTCAGCGGCGATGGGGGCAGATGTTGCGAGGAATTGTCTGGGACCTCGTGGTTCCCGTCCCCCTCACCTTCACCCCTGTCTCTCCGTCGGGGCACCGGAGGCCACCGCAGAAAAAAAAACAAAGCCAGAGAAACCGTCTTGTCCCGAGTGCCCAGTGAGGTCCTGGTGAAAGCAAGGAGCCCAGGGGGAAGCTGGTGGGCACCTGCCTGGCACCCGGCCACCCCGGGAGAGGCACCAGCAGGGCCAGACCCCGGGGCCTGGGTGCAGGAGCCAAGGGACGGGTGCCAGCAAGGACCGCACGCAGGGTCTGGGCCTGGGAGGAAGGGCCCCAGCGGTGCCAGGCGCAGGTGGCAGCCCCAGGCAGGCAGTCAGCCCAGCCCAGCCCTGCAAGGAGGGGGCGCCTGTCCTCCTGGGGTCCCCGCATCAGCTGAGCATGAATCCTGAGGGAATGTGGGCTGCTAACGTCATGGTCTCACCAAGGACAGAACCTCACTGTGACCATCTCCGCCTGGGAGGAGTACCGAACACCAGCACCGCTTAACCCTTTCCTTACCGCCCCCACCCCGCAGGGCCGTGGCACAGTGAACACAGCCACGTTCCCGATGCTGGCGGTTGGGCCACGTGCACGGCGCACAGGACAGGGCTTCATTCAACTCCCAGGCCAGCGTCCCCCAACCTGCCCTACCCTCACGGCCTTCCCCTCCCACCAGCTTGGAACCACGGACTGAAGGCTGAAGCCTGGAGCGACAGCCCAAAGCACAGGGTCCTCGAGCTCCTCGGGGCTCGCAGATCTCCTGGGCCTTGCTCCCAGTGCCCAGAGGCCCCATCACCCCAATGCCGGAGTCTAGGCCTCCCTGGCCACAGGCGGGCTGTTGTGCCCTGCCCTCACCTCTATCTCCAGGAGAGCCCCCACCTCCTGGCCCCCCACCCCCTGCTGTCGGCTCCACAGCCTCCACCATCCACACCAGAGGCCCAGCTCCTGCTGTTCTGACAGTTAGTCCCCCGCCCGGTCCCCACCTCGGAGCCCCTCCCACCCTCAGGCTGTCCCTGCCTCAGGGCCTTGGCACCTGCCGTTGCCTGTGCCTAGAACTGACCCTGTCTCTCCTCTGTCATCCGGTCACAGCTCCCCCCACACGCGTGTTGGTGCTGGCTAATGCCTCCTCGCCGAGGCATGGACGGCTCACAGCTGTGCAGAAGGGTCTCGGGCACGTCAGGGCACAACCGCTGCTCGGGCCCATGGGGGGCCGGGATCGCTCCTGGCAGTGACAGGACTCGATAAACTTCTCTGAGGTTTGACACGGAGTCTGAAGCCCCACGGGGGCCTCTCCACTCTGCTGCCCACACTGCCCAGGCTCGCTCGCTCACAGAACCTGCCCCATGGGCCCCCCGGGCACCGGTGGCTGAGTCAGGACCCTTGGATTCCGCTATAGGTCCTCCCCGTGCGGCTCCATCTGCGTGCCCCACCCTGCCCTCTGTGCCCGGGACATCTGGGTCCCCTGCCTCAAAGGCCAGGCCTCTGCTCCAAGTCACGTGTGTGGGCGCCTCGGGCCCAGCCAGCGCTCACAGCAGGACCAAAGGAGGGCCACTCCTGATGGTGCTGCAGCCGCCACGAGCCAGGGCCCCAGGACACAGGGTGAGCGCCCAGGCCACACGGCTCCGCCACGGCCTCCATGCTGAGCGTCTTAGTTGTTCAGGAGGTGCAGACTCCACAACCCCTGGAGCACACCCCTGTCACCCCCAAAGCAGCCCTGTGCCCAGGGTCACGGGTTCTCCCTGCCCCCGACCCCACCCGGGGAGTGGTCACCAGCACACCGTCTCTCTGGCTTTGTCCGTTCTGGGCATTCCGTGTGCATGTTAGCATAGGACACGTGCCCTGACTGGCTGCTTCTGCGTGGCCCCACATCCTCAAGGCTGCTAGAATTTCATTCCCTGGAAGACAGAGACCCCGTGGTCTCCCACTCACCAGCGGCTGATACTGGGCGCCTGCAGTTTCGCTGCTGTGAACACGTGGGGACACAAGGTCCCTTGGCTATGGCTCTGGGAGTGGGTTGGGAGGCCACAGTCTAGCGGTTCAGGATCTGTGGCACCTCCTCGCTGCCCCCCAGCCACATGGGAGGGCTCCGGGGTCTCATGCTTGTTCTCCCGTAGGGCGGTAAGTGCTTGCGCCGTGAGCCTGGACGCTGGAACAAGGGGTGCCCTCTAATTACAGGTTTTCCCTGTGGATCCCACCCTTCTGGGAATTACGACTTCAGTACCCGGCGGCATCACGTCCTTGTGCTTTGTTCTTTACTCCTCTTGGGCAACGCAGGTGATGACCTGTGAGCCTCCCTGTGTGCCGTGGCTGATCAGACCAGAACGCCCATGGGGAGGGAGGGTGGGTGCTTGTCCAGCAGGCCCCCCTTCACACGGAATGAGACACGGAGACTCGTCCACGTACTCAGCTTTTATACAATTTATTCTTCTACCAACAAATCATAAAGACAAGGAAGCTAGAAAACAACGTGGAACCAACTTTAATCGGCTGCCCGTGGGGTTCAGTGTGGGGGGTGGTGCACAGATGCAGCCGAGCCCTCCCACTGCAGCTGTGCTAAGGTCTACGCTGTGTGAACAGGGGTCAGGGGCACGGGGGAGGTCCTGCCATGCAGCCCTTCTGCAGTGTAGTGTCAGCGCCATGGGGCCCTGGGGCCCTGGGGACACGGCTCCGCCCCCAACACACGAGGGGGACCGAGTACCAGGGAGCTGGGTCTCGCCGCGTCACTCGGTGCAGAACCACAGCAGGAAGAGTACAGACACCCAGGCCTGGCTGTGGCGGTTTGGCACACGCTCTGGCCGCAGGTCGCTCTGACGACGCAGACCCTCTGTGCTGCCCAACAGCTCCTTGAACGTCTGGACGTTTAGCCTCTGCCCTGACCTGAAATCTGTGGACCAGGCGACTTCCTTGGGGTCCGAGGAAGCCAGAGAAAGCCAAGGACGCAGCCCTTTGGGGCTCGTTCACAGAAGCAGTCTCTTCACTGATGCCCTAATTACCACTGAAATCCCCAGGTGCTTAAATAAATAAATACGCCGCACAGACGAGGCACAGGTCACCGCAAGCTACGGCGGCATGATTGGGACCACGACCACGAAGCAAGTCCACGGCCCACTGGAACAGCTCACAGTGCCCTGCGCGTGGCTGTCACTGTCCCCCGTGCTCCGGCAGGAGGGGACAGGCACACGGGCTTCGGCTCGCTGACTCAGGGCTGCTGAGGCCCCGGGCACCCCCTCCATGGAGCCTGGCACATGGAAACCAGGGCCACCGGTACACACACGTCAGGCGGGGAACTGCGGTGAATTCTCAGAAACGGGGCCCAGCCGCCTGTGCAGGACGTGGCTGGCGTCCCAGCTGCAAACCCAGCCCGGGCGTGGCAGGACCCTCGCCTGGGCCTCTGCCCCTCAGGCAGCTTCCTGGAGCCAAATCCCCCAGAATGTGCCCCCCGGGATGACCACCCCGGGACCACGTCCCCAAGGAATTGGGGTTCCCCTCCTAGACATTCCTGCACCAGGCAGGCAGGCTGAGGCACGCTGACCAAGGCCACCCAGCGAGTCCGGGGTGGAGGGCTCTCCTCGGCCTTAATTTACAGGAACACAAACAGGGACGCTGCAGGGACAGGCGCTGAAGAGGCTGACCGAGGGACCAAGGCCCTCGGCCACCTTCCTGAACGGATCCCTGTGGCCCAAGGTGACCTTCAGTACGAGCAGGGGTTTCTCGTTGAGCATCCTGGACGAGACAGAACTGACATGCAACCATGGCAACCAGACAGGTCTGGCCACGGAAACTGCTTCTGGAACCCACAGCCTGAGGGCATGGCCAGTGCCGCTGGTCTCTTCCCGGGTCACTGCGAGCCTCGCTCAGGGGCATCCACGCCTCCCCCCACGCGAGGAAACCACCGCAGCTGCGGGCTGGCTCTGCGCCTGGAGGGGGAGCTGTGGGGCTATTCTGGAAACTTCCATAGGAGGCCACGTGTAGCACAATCCCCAGCCCGCCCAGCGTGTTCCTGGGTGGCTGAGCGTCAGGAGTAGATGGTAACCACCTCCCGGCCACTGCCCCGGACCAGAAGAACCCTGTCAAGCCCCTCGGTCAGGACCTCGAGGAACTCCATATCTGGGGTGACCTGAGTTAAGGACAGCTGGTTGCACTCACAGGAGTCCCGGGCAGAGGGAGATCAGTTTTCAGGCAGAGGCCCAACGCAGGCCTCAACCAGGTGCCTGGCGGATGCACACTCAGGATCAGCACGCGCCCACGGCCAGCCTGACCGGGAACCAGAGCCCCGCCCTCACCCCGGGGCTCTGGCACAGATAGGAGTCCATCGAGAACCCAAACAGGCCCTCAAGTCCCAGTCTGGTCACCAACCAAGCGCAGGGTCCTCAAGCTTATGGTTAGATCAAGACTTTAAGCCCAAGAGCCACCTGCTAACCCCCCACCCCCACCCCCACTACCCGCATTCCGGTGCCAGAGGGGAGGGCGGGGGCCATACCCCAGAGGGCAGCCCCCAGGCTGCACATCCACTAGGCACCCAAGTCGCCATCACAGGACACACGGTTAAGGGTGCGAACCCAGCTCATGGTAGAGCTGACTTGTGACCTCCGAGGTCAGGCCTGGCAGCCTCCAGCCAACCAGGAGGGGCACAAGCTGCGAAGGGCTGGGAGGCACGTGGGGGACCACCTGTGCTGTAGCTCATCCGGGATGAGGGGACACAGTGCCCCCACATCTCAAGGAAGATGCCCAGCACGGGAGTGGGCCAGGCAGGAGCTCAGAGCCAGCACCAGAACCCACGGCGAGCAGGGTCTGGGGTTAGGGGTGTGGTGACTGCCCCCACACTGGGCGTTTCGGGGCCAGGGCTCTGTGTCTGTGTTCGTCTCACCCGTGGTCCAAATTCCTGTGTGTGCCAGGTTCTTCATGGAGGGCCTGAGCTGCCCAGGATATCCCCCACATTTACGGCTTCCTCGGAGTCACTGATGCCCCAAACCAATCAAGAACCATTCACCTGGGGCCCCCAGTTTCTGGCACTCAGACTGGGGGGGCCAAGTCTGCCCCTCCGCCTGGTCTGTGTGGGTTCAGCCCAGGGGCTGGAGGCTCTGGCACCGGGGGCCACGCTTGGGGCCCCACTGCTCCCGCCCCCAACACAGGAATCCTCCGGGCAAGACAGCCCTGTCCCCGGGAGGCGGAGTGGCCCAGCCTCCCCAGCCTGCTGGGCTGCACGCACAAAGGATACAGTTCTCATCCCCCTGCCGGTTTCTGGGGGGCCCCGGCATGTTCAGCAGGACAAGCTGTGCGCCCCGGGACCTGCTGAGGACGACACCGTTGAGCTTCACGGCCGTGTGCATCCTCCTGACGTTGGACTGGTTCCTGTGGGAGGAGGACCACTTGGTGCTATGGCCCACAGCTCTGGGCGCCAGGCCGGCCTGAGCCCTGTGAGCCCATCTCAGTCCCAAGGAGCAACATCAGGATTCAAATGGCGTCACCTCCCCCAAAGACCCCATGGGGGAGGAGACTCCATGTGAGGCTGGTGAGCACTGACGGGGACATTACCCACCAACAAGAAGGCTTTGGTCTCCAAACGTTCTAAAAACCGAGCTTTTCCATCTACGAGCAATGTTCCCCGCTGCAAACAGCACACTGTTGAATGTGAAAGGCTCTAACCCCACCCCAACTGGGAGCCTCGGCGTCACGGCCCAGCCCTGCTTCACACTGGCCTTGAGCTAAGCTTGCTCAAGCAAGCACACAATGGCATCTCACTCGTCCTGACAGGCTGGGGGCACAGGAGAGCCCAGAGATGCTGTGCAGGAAGAGGCCTGGGCACCTGGTGCCCAGGCTGGAGATTCTGGTCAAGAACGAGGCTACAAGGTCCACCCCAGGCTTGGTAGCCTGGACCCTGCTGCCCTTGGCGGATGGCCGATAGACAAGCGCTTGCAATGCTCAGCAACCCAAACCCTGCCCCTTGTCTTTCGCAACCCCCCGGCTCCGCGCACTCCACTGTGCACTGATGGTCCTCCAAGCGTCCCGGGCAGACTCCTGCCCGCCCGCCTGCACTCCCCGGTGCTCACACGGGGTCTCGTCCTCATCTACCCCATGTGCGCCAGGTGGCCACGGTCCGAGTGTGTCCCAGGAAGCACACTCAGGAGAGGCAGCCTGGGCGAGCTAACCGCCTCCAAGACATCCATCCTCCTGAGCTGGATAACCCTGGCAACTCTGCCAGTTCTCGGGTGGCCTACACGATGGAATCCGCAGGCAGCCCGGCTGTGTAGGCTGCAGCCCTGCCGAGAGCAGGTCACCGTGCCCCAGACTCGGGGTGGTGGGGGTGGGGGACAGAGGCCAGGGCACAGGTCGGGGGAGGGCCCGCTGGGGCCGCCTCCGGGCCACGCCCTGTCACCAGCTCAGCCGTCGAGCCAAATACACCAGATCACAACCACCAATTCCCAGGAGGAAAACAGGGAGCCGGGGCTCTTTCTGTCCAGTTTCATCTGATAAAATTACAGACTGGGCACCTGTCCACGGCACAATCAGGGATCTTCCATCACAAGAACCATGAGTTAGCTGCCTGGACAGAGCACAATTACCAGTGTTTGGGGACAAGAGTCACTCCAGAAATGAACGTCTGTGTGGTATTGAAGGATCCCTTACGGCTGAAAGTCTGAAAACACATATAATCTGAAAATCAGGGGTTTGGGTCTGGCTGGAAGGGCCCTGGGCTCCAGGGTGACATGCCTTGTGGAGGTCAGAGGGGCACGGAGACGGCCAACGTGTGGCCCTCATGTTTCCAGGAAGCCAGTAGAAACCTGCATTTGCTCCCCACAGCGGGCCGTAAGTGCACAGAGTAAGGGAACCGGTCATGCGTATACTGAATCTGGTGGGGCAGAGCCTCCACTGAGGCTGGGGGTGGTGGGCCGCCCAGGGCAGAGGAGGGGCAGGTGAGCGACGAGCATGTGGCCGGTATGGCGGGGAAGCTGCGGTTCCTGTCCCTGGGCTCCTGGGGGCCACATGGCACGGACAACGGACCGAACACAAGCAGACGAGCACCTGCACGCACCAACGCCCTGGGGACAGCCAGCCACCCGTCGCTCAGTCCCCTGCCACCTACAGGCTGACCTTCTTCCAGCCTAACCCTCGACCCGGAGGCCCCCCAGAGCCCCGGGGACAGGGTCAGCAGGCCCACAGCTCACAGCGTTTTTGGGGAGAAACCATATTCCTGTGTCTCCCCGCTTTTGTTGTCTTCGGTGACTTTACGTGGGGACCTCCCTGTGGATCCCTGCATGTCTACAGGCTCTACACCCTCCACGCCCAACCCCTGCCCGTCTCCGTGGTGTGCACCCAGGGGCTGCAGAAGAAGAGCAACCCCCGGCCTTGGCGCTCCGCTGTGGACGCCGCCTGGCCACCCCTCCGCGGGGGACACACCCGCAGGTGCTGGGGGGGCAGGGGTGCACAGCGGCCCATCCAGCTGCGCCCCCATGTCGGAGCATGCACAGGGTCCGTCCACACCCCTCTGCACGCCTGGCCCGCAGCTTCCTGGGTGAAGAGCACCCAGGGCCAGGGAGCAGACCTGTCCAAACGCTCAGCCTGCAGGGATGCGGACGGAGCAGCTAAGAGCTACTGAGCGCCCGGTCCTCTCTGCTCCAGCGGCTCGGGGCCCGTCCTCCCTGCAGCGCACTCCTCGCGCTGCTCTAGGAGGAAGCTCAGCTATGTGCCCTGAGCCGTCTGGACAGAGGGGGCTGCAGCACGTGCAGGCATGTGCACTCACACAGGGCTGTCCACACGTGCACACATGCACACACGGTTCACAAGGCAGCACGAGCCAAGCATGCACGGTAACAGGTCTAAGCAGCATCCTAAATAAAGTGAGAGAACTTACAGATTTCCCCATTCTCTACACGGGAGAGAAAACACAAAGAACGAGTTACTTCGGGAGTGACCACGAGGAACCTGGCTGCCCTCCCCCGGCCCACCTGGTCCTTCTCCACGAGGGTGTCTGATCCCCGGACCCTCCCCTCACTGAAGACGCTCCAGGACCAGCCGCACCGTGCCCCCCACAGGCACCCGTGCCAGCCATGGCGGTGCGCAGCCCAATGCCACAGGCAGAACCCGGGCCCCCGCAGGCAGCCTGCATGGGCAGCGGGGTCCCAGCTGGGAGTCCCCAGCCCCCCCACGAGCCCTGACCTCCAGCTGCTGGGATCCAGCAAGAACACAGACGCCCGGATCCCAGTGAACGATGGCCCTTGGGCCCGCATGTCAGCAGAGACATGCCTGCGGCCAGTACCAGACCACGAAGCACCTCCAGCCCCCCGGCCAACACTCACGGCTTCAGGCTGAAGAGGTCCTTGAACCCGGACATGCCCGGCTCCTTGTTCTTGTACTTCTCTGCGATCAGCTTCTCCTTGGTCCAGGTCATCTGCACTTTGTCTGGGGTGGACGGGGCCTGGGTTCTGGTGGCCACGACGGAATGGGACGCAGTATTCCTGTCGTGGATTAGCTGAGCCTGGCGGCAGAGCAGGGCACGGTCAACAGGGCCCATTCTGTGACCTCACACCTCCAAAATGCTCCCAAGAAGAATCGGGTGCAGATGAGAAGCCGGGACCCCGGGACCAGCCCCCTCGCGGGGGACCTGATGCTACCCCAACCCCCAGCCGGGGCCTTCCTCCTGGGCATCCAGACCCAACTTGGCCCTCTTCCGGCCCCGGCTCTGAAGGCCACTGAGAACAGCCCGCAGCTCCGTGCTGACAAGGGATGTATGCACCCGGAAATCTGCACTCGACGTAGCTCCACCCCACCCGCTTGTGTAGCGGTCCATCCATTCCTCACTCCTTTATCCCCGTTTATCCGTCCACCCGTCTGTCACCACCCCCATCCCCTCACTCGTCAACGGCACGGAGTGTGTCGGGGAGCCCATGTTCTTGGGGCGGCTCAGGTGCAGGCTGAGGAAGTCAAGTGTTGCCCAAGTCCGGCTGGACAGGCCACGTGGGAACGGAACCATGACCGAGGACCAGAGGGCGCTGGCCTGAGGGGGCGACAGAGCTCGAGGCAGAGCTGGGTGCTGCCGAGAACCCGCGGAGGAGGGCGCTGGCCTGAGGGGGCGACAGAGCTCGGGGCAGAGCTGGGTGCTGCCGAGAACCCGCGGAGGAGGGCGCTGGCCTGAGGGGGCGACAGAGCTCGGGGCAGAGCTGGGTGCTGCCGAGAACCCGCGGAGTGACGTGAGGGGAGAGCAGGGACGGCGCCTGGAGCGGTCAGCACGTTGGCTCTCCAAACCCACTGTGGCTCTCGGCCGGACGAGGGATGGGAGGGAGGAGAGAGGCCAGGTGGGGGCCGCTACGGTGGTTCAGACGGGAGCAGAGCTGGGAAGGCCAGAGGACGCTGGTCCGAGCAGACCCACGTGTGCGGACGGGGTCCCCACGGCCCCGACCTCAGCCTGGGTGTGGACCCCGGGGCCGTGAGGGCAGAATCGTGCCACCCGGCATTCAGAAAGCCAGGCGTGGGGACGGACGGCTCTGTGACCGCCGAGACCTGGTCCTGCTGGTCAGGCCAGCAAGCTGAGGCCGGACTCCCCAAGGGCAACTGCCCCGTGCAAGTGGGGCTGCCAGGTGCCCGCCCGCTCCCCGCACACGCACCTCCCTCTCCCGCTCCGTCTTGGACAGCTGCATCTGCTTCAGTATCTGGGACCTCTGCTCCATCATCAGAGTCTTCTCGTACGTGAACGCCGAGATGTCGTTTTCAACCTGGACAATGCGTGAAGCACACGGGTCAACACCTGCCGTCTGCACACCGCCTGTCCCCCCGCCCCCACGCTCGCGCCCTCAGCCCCAGCGGCCCCCGAACGGTATGTGTGGCGGTGACCACGTGAGTAGGAACAGTGGCCACAGCTGAATCTGTGTCTGCTCCAATGCCTGCTCCCAGGGGAGCCCCACACCAAGCACGCGCCTCGTCCTGCACAGGTGTCTGGAGCTCGCCCGGTGACAACAGGGCCAGGATCTTCTCCAGCCCCTGGCCTGACCCTTGGCAGATGGCCCTGGGTCCTCCCGCCGGTCCAGGATGGGGTCGGCATCAGGCGAGCACCATGTCCTCTGCCTCTTGGGCCCGAAGACAGGGAGCACCCTGTAACCCTCCGTGGAGCTCTCCCATCGTCCGGCGGGGCCACAGGCCCTGCTCACTGCTCCTGCAAGCTGGGTCCTGTCCCACAAACATGCGGAGATGTGTTCTGACGCACTGTTTCTGTGTCAATCCACCTTACTGAACTCTGAATATTTTCTCAGGTTTTCCAGATATTTAAGTGATATCTGCACAAACATCACCTTGCCTCCAACACTTAAGCTCCAGCATCAGCTTCCGGAAAGGGAGACGGGTGGGCCGCCCGCTTACCGCTGACCTCCGGAGACATTCGTGGGGGGTTAGCTGTTGGCCGGGTGTCTTTGAGTCTGCCGGCCAGATACGCGCTCTTCCTCCCTGGTACTTGTTATAAAATCTATAAAGTCTACTCTTTTTAAAGTCACGTCTTAACGATAACCCCCAAACCCTTCCTGCTCACGCGTCCAGGCTCAACACTTGGACTGGTTTTTCTAAGCCTTGCTGGCCGGGAGCATCTCCCTCCTTGTTAGTGACCCTGACTTCTTGCTGTTCAATGTTGGCCTTTGACTCTGGCCTCCCCTTCTGCCGTGGGGCTTCCTGGCTCCTGGAGACGGTGCCCCGGGCCCTTGCTATCCACGAGGTGGGCTTGCTGTGCTGGCGGGCTGGGCCCGGGGTGGAGGCTGGCCTGGCCAACGGCCCAGAAGTACAGCAGGGAGCACAGGGACCCTGCCCACCTCCTGATGGAAGGACCTGGCTAAGCAGGTTCCAGCCATGGTCTGCTCGTGGCCACACCGGAGTGCGTGGCCACGCAAGGCTGGACAGTGGCCCGCTCTCACAGAAGAGATGCAACTGCATCCCTAACGCCACTCCCAATGAAACAGAACTTGCAGTCGTGAGTGAAATTAGCAGCCTTGATACGCAAGTACAGTCACTGCAAACCACGAGAGTCCACGCCTCACGGTGTGATCCTGCCACACTGCACCCCACGACCATTTCCACCCCGGTTCTGTTCAGCTTCTGGGACCTGACGTCACGTAAGGTTCCGGAACACGGACAGGAATGGCTGGCGCGGGTGACAGCCAGGACGTGGGCGCCGCCTCAAAGACACCAGAGTGGCCACGGCGGAACAGCGCGAGCAACAGAACCACCATGTGGTCCCACGTAAACCCCGACGTGGGGAGATCGCGGGAGTCCACGTGGCTGTGGCTGTGGCCGTGGCCGGGGGAGACACAAACAGCAGCCCCGGGAGAGATGCCATGAGCACAAGAATGCTCCCCTGCTCCAGGGATCTGCCCCCGGGCAGAGTCTGTAGGCGAGGAGCCTGGACTGCAGGCTCATGGCCTCTGACAGGCCGGCCGTCACGTCTGCCCGCAGAACATGCTGAGGAGCCGGGTTACATTGGGGTCCCCCTCCCATAAACCACTAAACCCACCAGCCCAGCCCCGAGCCTGGCAAAGGTAAACCTCTGCAAAGTTACCACAGCCCATGGAGCCGCGGCAGCATGGGCCCTGGTGGGACCCTGAGCCCAGGACCATGCCAGACTGCCTCACCATCTCCACCACCTCCACCTCGGCACTGATCCTCAGGTGGTACAGGAACATCTGCAGGTCCTTCTTCATCTGGATGCTGTTGTCGTCCACCTGGGCTACCGTGAAGATGCGCATCCGGCACTTCCTCCACACCTGGAGGGCAGGCCACAGGGCTGGCATCTGCGCGCGGCAGGCGAGCCCTGCCCCCCACCGTGGGACCCCGCCCCACGTGACCCACCTTGTGCTGCCGCAGCAGGAACGGCAACAGCATGAGGAGGCCCCCGTCATGCACGACCCACCACACGTCGATGTCCCCGTCGCCGAAGCGCTCCTGGTTTTGTGGAAACAGGTCCACGTTTTTGGCCACCAGCAGGGCCTGCTGGGCTGTCGTGGTGTCTCGGACGGTTTCTGTGGAGAGACAGCGGCGGGTTGCCCCATGGACTCGCGGGCTCCAGCCAGCGTGGGAGGCAGGCGAGGCCACGGGGTCCCTGGGAAGCTCCACCCGGGGCCCACGCTAAAGGTAGTGCAGGCTTGCTCGGCCAGCCACTGTGCCACCGGCCCAAAGGATGTGGGGCCCTCAGGAATCGCCGTACCGCACGGCTGGCCGGAACGGCAGCGAGGTATCACACTGTGGGGTGCGTTCCCATGGGACGTGGGACACTGGGACGCCAGTGGGAGCCCCGCCCATGGGCCCGAGCACAGCACCCACCGACAAAGTTCTTCCAGGAGAAAGTGTTGGCCTCCTGCTTCCAGGACTCGGGCCATGCCATGAGCACCGTGTTGTGCTTCATGCCTCCCAGGCCGGCCGACTGGATCAGGTGGGACATGCCGTCCCGCAGGCTGGAGGATACCACCAGCTGACAGAAGCCCTTGGTCTTCTCCACGCCCATCAGAGACCGGATGTTCTGGGGAGACAAGCTGGGTCGGTGCCTCCTCGGGGAATCCTCGCTCATTCTCCCGGGAGACGCAGGGCCTCCCCCTTCCCCACATCCTGGCCGTCCCATGAGCCAACTCTGTGGAGGCCACATCCCTCCGTGGGAACCAGCCTGGCCCTTCCCCAGTGAGGCCTCCGCTCCACAAGCCGAGACACGAACAGAGGCGGGAATGGTGAGGGACGAGGTCGGGGTGCACCAGCTGTTTCCATTTATGAAGCCGGGTGAATGCCCTGTGCCCCCACCTGGCCGAGACGCTCCTGGCCAGCTCACGAGTCAGGCCACGGCAGCAAGCACGGTGCAAGGGGACTGTGGCACCCCTGGGTCCTCGTCCTCTGAGACACAGCCATGCTCCACCAGCCCACGGACAGCAGTCCCCTCCCCTCGGGGATACCACAGCTCTGAGTCCCCCACTGGGCTGTACGTCTGGGGTGAAACCCAGCTGTGTTACCTACACTCAGCCCTTGCACCTCCCAGCACAGCGATGGGGCCGAGCCACCAGCACACGGCTCCGTCCCCAAAAGACGGAAGAGCGGGGCCAGAGGGGCCCCGTCTCCCACATTGCTCACGCAGACTGGCAGGTGGACCAAAAAACTAGAACCTGGCCCAGACCCTCGGGAGCGCACATCACCACCAACTCCATGACGTCCTACGAATGACCCCACGGGGACCGAGACGTGTCTACGGACCGCTCACCATATCACTCGGGACACAGAAACACCGAGACCCCCAAACACAAGCACAGCGGCATCGAGGAACAGAAACCGAACACACGCACGACACGGACCACGAAGCTGACGCAGACACACGCTGCCCTAAAACAGAAAACCGCCTTTTTACAGTAACAAGAGCGTGTGAAACACCTTCTGCAAGACTGGGTTTGTTAATGAAACTGGAAAAGTCCGGGACCGCGCGTGCAAGATGACAACAGCCCCCGGTGTCGGCAAGGGGGCAAGGATGGGGGATCCGGCCACGCCACAACCGTCCCGGGGCCGTGGCTGCGGACTGCTGCCTTCCACGCGGTGGGTCTGGGCCGAGCATGTCAGCACCACGGGGGGCAGTCCCGCCCAAGGACGGGACAGCGTGCACAAGGACAGCACTGTCTACATCCACATACTGTGGCCAGCAACCGCCACAATGGAGCCCACGGGCTTACGATCCTGCTGAAAGAGAGCCGCTGGTGCCTCAGGGACAGCACCCAGCACGTCGGCTGCCTTCCCTGAGCGAGGAACCCGCGAACCGCCGACGGCACGGAGCTGGCTTGTCTAGCTGAGGGAGGCGGCGGGAGGGTCAGAAGCTGGCATCTGCGACCCCTGCTCTGAATGTGAATGAGCCTCTGGGCGCGGCACAGCTTGGACACGCAGCCGCAGTGCTCCCCGACACATGGACACAGCGGCCCCTCCCCCACCCGCCCGACTGCCCAAGGGTTAGAAGGACCCACCCTGGAGCAAGAGACCGAGCCGCACCACCTGCACGGGTGGAGAAAGGGAAGACCTACGCGCGGAAGCAGGGAGGCCACCCCCAGAAACCAGCGCTGACGTGCCTCCCACTTCGGACACAGACCCGGACCGTCAGAGACAAAAGCACAGGACCTGGTGGGTCTGCCTGGAAACACGCAGCCCCCGGGTGTTCACAACACCAGCCGTTTCCACGTGTGCCTGAGATGACCTGCGCAGGCCGAGGTCAGCGTCTCCTCCAGCCAGAGCCCCTGGACACATGGGCCTCAGGCCGCCATGCGAGACTGCGAGCATGCAGGGGACGGAGCCCAGGCCAAGCCGTGGAGGGCACCGGGGGAGCTGGGCACCGGGGGAACGTCTCCAAGGCCGGCACCGAGCGGCCTCGGAACCGGCCTCCAACCCACATGCTCTCCATGAGGTCTCAGCCCGCCCACCCCCACCGGGTCCCTTCAGCAGCCTCAGTTCTGACCCAACCGAACCCAGAAACCAGGGTCTACTACGAAACGTGACAACAGCACAACATACAAAACCACGCTCGCAGACGGCAGCAAGGGAAAACGTGCTGGTCTGACCTTTCTGCACAGGGCAGGCAGCAAGCGGTGGGCCTGCCCCTCGACCGCTTCACCGTGACCCGTCCCCACCCTGCCCGCGCTCCCTGCTCGGACCTCTGTCCCGCGGCCGCCCGCCACCCCTTCCATGCCCACCGCCGTCCCTGCCCGCTGTCCCACAGACCCGGCCCGCGCCTGCCCACCTCCTCGGCCCGCTGGGCCTCCACGTGCTTGTCCAGGTAGGTGCCCTCCAGCACGGAGCCCACGATGGTCAGGCCCTTGCCAGCCTTGAGCTGGGTCGTGAGGGATAGTAGGCGGGGGTGTTTCACACGCTGCTCCTCATCCAGGCTCAGCATCACCAGCACCTGGGGCCTGCACCACAGACCACGCTCACCAGGCGAGCCTGCCCAGGGCTACACCTCTGGCGCCTGAGGGATGGAGGCTGCACGGCTCTCAGCACAGAGGACATCCCTGACCTCCCCAAAGTGGGGAGACGTGCGGCTGGTGGTCCACGCACTTACCTCCATCCTCGGCAGGACCCCAGGGAGGTCCACTCACCCCATGCCCCACCCACCAGGCTGATCACGCCAGGCCGACCACCGTGCGATGAGAGAAGGTACTAGAACTTCCGAGACAATCGCTCCCCAAAAAGAGAGAGCAACTGTTTCCGTCTCTGAAGTGTGAGGTTAGAGATGGTGCTCTGCATTCAGTGCGTGAGGCCAGGTCGGGGTGGGCTGCGGGGCTCACCTCCAGTTCTTGGTGTGGGGGGGGCCGTGCTCCACACGCAGCAGGGCGTAGCGGGCTGCATTTAGCGACAGCCCCCTGATGCCATCACCCCACTCCTTCTCAGCCCTGCAAGAAAGGAGCAGCAGTAAGGAGCCCGGGAAGGGACCCTAGGGCCAGGGCCCTGAAGCTTCCCTGGACCACAGGCCTCCAGGGGCAGTCTCCCTGAGAAGCCAGCCTGGGGTTTCTGCGACAGGACAGGGTGGGACCCTGGAGTCGGGGACACTGATGAGCACAGCAGGCTTGGTGGGCCTGGCCTCACCAGAAGTGGTCACACGCCCGACACTCCTTCTTCACCAGCTGGGAAGAGCTGGAGGGGGCCTCCAGGCAGTGGCCAGGACCCCTCAGACCCCACCCCTGGAGGGAGCCAGGCCCCAGGGACGGACCGGTGCTCTGGGATGCGCTCTGGGACGCAGCACGCTCTTTGGAAATTGTGAAATCCCTCACACATCACTGCTACACTGCTTTCACTAGATAGACTTCAAAGTTCTCAAAAAGCACATAGTAAAAAAGTGTCACAGGCGTGGAATCAATACAAGGTAGCAAACACAGCTCTCCACCCGTCATGCTGCCGGTGTGCAAGCCCAGACAGCAGGGCCCACCTGGGCCCCGGCACGGGGGCCCGACTCACACTGCGACCACCCCTCACCCCTGCACTGGGCTATGCAGACCCCACGGAGACACCCCTGCAGGGAGCACCAGCCCGCGAACTCGTGCACAGCAGCTCACCCGCGGTACTCGATGTACTTGTAGATGCAGCCAGCGATGAGCATGGCGAAGAGAGCGTAGTACCAGGAGCAGATGAACATGAGCGCGAGGCACAGGCTCATGCCCAGGAAGGAGAGCGCCCTGGAGAAACACGCAACTCACACTCCTGCCACGCCCAGAACCCCGGAAACCTTCCTGGCCCCTTAACAAAGATCCTTCTCAGCTACAGCAAGAAAGCAGCCATAGTGCCGGTGACCGGATGCCCCCCCCCCGCCCCGGACACTGAACCCTCGAGGGCTGAGCCCGCCGTGGCTCCGCGCCCATGGACGTGGGACACCCATCAAGCACCCCGTGGGCCACACAGCACAACAGGCTTCACTCGTCCACCACACACACTGGCAGCATGGAGACCACGCGGCCACGGTCACACACGGAGGCCATTCCCCCAGCAGGGACCACGTGCCCCGTGATGCCTGGGTGGCCTGGGTGACATACACAGGTGCTAGGCCCGCCTGGCTTGGCTGCGGCGCAGGCGGCAGCGGCCGTGCAGATGCACTGGGGACCCGGGGCCGTCCTGGTGGTGGGAGTGCTTACCAGTGGTAGTATCGGAAACGTGGCCGCCAGTTGGGCGTGCGCAGCAGGGTCTGCACCGCGCAGGCCAGGTTCACAAACATGTAGCACATGAGGAAAAACCTGCGGGCGTTAAGGACAGGACCAGAGGAGCCAGGGGTCAGGTCCCACGTGGTCTCCCCACCCCCCCACTACAGCACTGTCCCTCCCGTTCCCCCCCATCCACGGCACCGTTCCACGAGGACCACCTGGCCCGCATGACTGGGTGTCTGGTGACCCCTGAGCAGGCCAGTCCCAGAGCGGGGGCGCACACTTGCCTCCTTGTCCACAAGCAGCAGCCCCATCTCCGTGGCCTGTCCCCACACCCCTCCCACCAGGCCTGCAGCCACTCACATGGACAGGATGGGGGCCACGCTGTCCAGAGAGGCAATCAGGATGCCAGTCTCACAGATGAGGGCCGTGAGCAGCAGGGCCCACGTGGGCTCCCCATTGGCCTTCCCGTGGCCAAACACCTGCAGGGAAAGGGCAGGTGGGCTGCGAGCGTGGGGGGCAGGGCCACAGGACAACAGCCCACGTCCTGGTGAGAAGGCCAGCTTCCCAGGGGCAGGCCCAAAGGGGCTCAGGGACGGGACAGAGGCGGAAGCGGACTTTCACAACCCATTGGGAGGAAAAGCTGATGCCCAGAACCAAGAAGGCAGGCAGTGGCCGAGGTACCATCGGGCCTGGGCCTCACAGCATGGGGCGGAGGTGAAGGTGACCCCTCCATGCGCTGGACGGGGGCCTCCGGGGCATCCTGAGGCCAGCCTCGCGGGGGCAGGTGCAGGGTCCCCCGCGGCACACGCGCATGGAGAACTGTGAGGACTCTTCGCCCAGAGCCACACAGGGCAGGACCACGCGGAGGCCACAGCTGCCTCCGGACACCAGCTTCCAGTGCTTTTCTAGCACAGTCCCTGCTGCCCAGGGGCTCTGGGAACGGACGTGCGGAGCACCCTGCACACACTGCAGACACTGCGGACACGCGGAATGACACCAGAAACAGACCTGGGGAGGGGCACCGGGGACACGGCAATATCCCCAGAGCAGGACCCTGTCTGCGCCGAGCCAAGCGACAGAGCTGTGAAGTGTGCTGGAACCTTCCGGGGAGCGAAGGCGAGGACCGCGCTCTGGAGGGGGGAGGACCAGCCCCCACACTGACGATGAACACGCACGAAGGGGCCCCATGCACCCCTGAGCCCCCCAGTGAAGCCCTGGCCCCAACCCCTCAGAAGGCGACTCGACCATGTTTGCAGATGTGAGCTTTACGGGCGGCCCTAATCCAGGTGACCGGTGTCCTTGTGAAAAAGATGAACACAAAAGCACAGGCAGGCCACATGGGGACTCGGGGAAGCTGGGGAAGGTGATGACACACCAAGGACAAACAAGCTTTGCCCCCCCCCCGCCCCGCGCGTCTGGGACTTCCCGCCCCCAGGGGTGTGGGCAAATCCCCATGCGTTGTCTGAGCCCCCAGCTTGTGGCATGCGGTGCAGGGAGGACGCTGCGCCCAGCAGGACAGACACCAGCCCTGAGGAGATGGAGGCTCCCCGGGTTGCTCCTCTCAACTGTTCCCACAGCCCAGGGTGGTGAGGGGCCACCCCCTGCCCCCGACATGTACCTGCGCCCTCAGCACCGTGATCACCCAGGGCGAGGCTGCCAGGCTGGCAGTGGGGACCTGGGTCCCACGGTCTGTAACCGTGAAGATCGTGCTCTGGGGGCAGACCCTCAGGAACCCTCACAGACACACCCCTTCCCGTGGGGCCCCCTGCTCTCAGAAGGGCAGCCACCCCGCTCACCTGTAGGAAGGGGATGATGCCGTCGCGGGCGATGGCCTGCAGCAGGCGTGGTGCCCCCGTGAGGCTCTGCAGGCCAGCACCACAAGTTGAGAAAAAGGAGCCGATGACGATGACCCAGGGAGACGGCCAGGCCAGCATGCCGATGACCAGCTTCCCCTGCAGGGCCTCCCCGAACCTGTGGGGCGGGTGGGTGGGCTTTCAAATGCGAGCTGAAGACATAAACATCTTCCCATGCTCTGAGCTGGAGTGAGGCCGCTCCCACCCTAACTGTCCTTTCTCAGGCGCAGGGAAACCACGGTCATTCCTGAGACGTGGCATCAGCACGACCACGCCGTCCCGAACCGCACAGAACCCCTCACGCTCTCTCGGGTGGGAGACTGCTCGGCAGTTCCCCAGCTCCAGGCTGGGGCAGGACAGGACCACACACCAGACCGAGCAGAACCCCCCCAGAGGAGCCATGGGGCTCAACCCTGGGGGAAGTCCCAAGATCAACGCTACCACCATCCACGAGAAAAACGATGCTGACCTGGAAGCTTCTAGAAGCCACAAACAAAAACCAACGTACTTGGGCGCCTGGGTGGTTCAGTTGGTTGGGCCTTCGGCTCAGGTCATGATCCTGGAGTCCCGGGATCAAGTCCCGCATCAGGCTCCCTGCTCAGCGGGGAGTCTGCCTCTCTCTCTGACCCTCCCCCCCCATGTGCTCTCTCTCTCTCAAATAAATGAATAAAATCTTTAAAAAAAAAAAAACAAAAACCAACATACTTATCTCGTAAGATCACGCCTTCGATGCAGGCCCCAAAGAGCACGATGCAGGACAGGTCTGTGTCTTGAGTCAAGGAAGCAGCAGGCCAAACGTCATCGGCAGGGTCTGGTGGCGGGTGGGCATGAACCAGCCCTGCGCCCCGCCTGCCCGCTCCCCGCTCCCCGCCTCCCCGCCGTGACCCCACGGCCCCATCCTGGTTCCAGCTGAGTCAGGCTGCACACGGCCCGATGACCGCCACAGGCACCAGGCAGGGGACGCTGGCTCACTTGGCAAGGACAGACCTCAGCGACAGCACGAGGACGCTGTGAGTGTTGCGCCCGCAGTTACGGGCCACCACCGCCTGTCACGTGTGAGGATGCAGGTGCTACACGCAGTTTACAGACAGTGGCTTGGGAAGCAGCCGGCATGAGCTCAGCAACCTGGCGTCCCTCATTCTCCCTCGTCAGGCAGACGCCAGCCCGGCTCCCCCCTGGGGCAGCAGCGGTCAGAGCACTGGGGCCTCCCTCACCTTGGCCCCTTTGAGGATACAGATAAAAGACGTCGTCACGATGGCCAAAATGGTCCCTGTGGGGATCGACTTCTGGGCGTCCCTGAGGTCCCCGGACCGGTTTGAGCCCGCCATGATACCTACAGAACCACCAGAAGAGCCCCCAGTTACCACAAACCCAGAAAACGCCACCAGCCACGCCCTTGGCCACGACACACAGGGAGAGCGTGAGACTAAAGAGAAGCACCTGGAACCCGTGCCCGCCTGCAAGCTGTGGGGCTCCAGCTGGTGAAGGGGAAGACCGAGCGGCGGCCGAGGGCCCGGGCAAGGGCTGGACGTGCCAACGGCTGCAGGCGGCTCAGGCAGCCGGCGCCAGGCCAAGGTGGGGGCTGGGGGCTCCCGCTGTGCACCGGGCCAGAGGGGTGTCCTGGCAGGGGCTGAGGCACTGGCGCGCGCCGAGGGTAGTCCCAGAAGGTCAGATGAGTGTCGTGTGAGGATGGCCCTCGGGTCCACGCCCAGCCGCCACGGTCAGTGACCTCGAGGGCTGCTGGTCAGTCGGGAGTGCTTGGGACAGAGCTCCTTCCCACACCCCAATCAGCACGTTGAGGGGAGCAGAGACCCTGCAGCTCGTTTCCTGGGGGGCTGGGACAGGTGTGTGCAGTGAGGGATAGGGCAGGGCCTCACCGGTCACGGAGGGGAAGTAGATCCCGACCAGCATGGTGAAGTAGGTCATGATGTCAGTGAGGACGTAGGGCAGGTTGCCGGCCCTGCTCTCCTCTGGCACGGGGACCGACGGCGTGTTCTTCCTCTCCACAAACGTCCCCTTGTCTGCATACGTGCTCCACAGGTTATCTGCGGGACACAATAGGCCAGTAACAGGTTCCAGAACCTTCTGCCGGACTTCTGCCATCAGGGAGGCCCCCGCAGAGGCAGCGGGGGTGGAGGGCTCACCAGCCCCCATGGGCTCTAACTTCACACGAGGACGCGCAACCTCTCCTCCCAGAAGACCAGACGGACCAGCCCTGTCGCCCCCAACCACGACCCCATGTGTACCCAGCAGCAAACCCCAGAAAGGGTCTGCTGACCCGCAGGCTTTGCCACCCGGTGCTGACCACGGCTCCAGCTCCAGGGGCGGCAGCCGCCTGGCGGGCCCCTGTGGGGGAGGGCAGGCATGGTCCCACGTGGACCCTGGGGCGCTCACCCAGGAGGACGCCACTGGCCACGCCGGGGATGCCCTGGATCTCTGTGACATTGTTCTGGGCAAAGTACTCGTCACAGGTGGCGTTGGGCATGGAGCTGTTGCAGAAGAGGCCCCAGAGCGCGGTGGGCGCCGTGCTGTTGTTGGCGGCGAGGAACTTGGCACAGACGTCGAAGCCACGTCTTGACAAGGTGCGGTTTCCCAGGAGACAGACCCTAGCGCGGGGACTGGGCGTGAGCATGTGCGGGCCCCTTGTGAAACACCTACTACTGCTCTCCTTGGGCGACCGGGCTGGGGGCCGCTAAGCCGCTTCGGACACCCCACCCTGGGCGACGGGAGCGGCGCATGGGCTGTGAGCAGTGGCTGCTGCTCACACCAGTGGCCACCCAGCCCGCCAGGGCCCTCCTGGACCAGCCCTGTGGGCGCTGGGCCCACCTGGCCAGCCTGACAGGCCATGTGCCGGACATACCGCGGCTCGCTCACTCGCTGTGACCTTGGGCCACTTCCCTGGGACTTGGCATCCACATGCGTAAGAGAACAAGAAAGAAACCCACTGGGGGCGGGGGAGAACACGGACTAGGGGAGCCGGGGAGCCAGGGCACAGGGCGCATGGAGGTTGGGCCACCCCAGGAGGAGCTCAGTGCTGCCATCCTTGGGGCCAGCGGCACCCCGTCCACCCGACCTTCACCGGACCCACCCCACCCACGCAGATGGCGTGGCCACACGAGCATCCTGAGGGCTCACCCCCAAGCCCGGCGAGAGCAGGGGCATCTGCGTCCCACGGCACCGCCACCCCAGCCCGGCAAGCGGTCACGGACACAGACAAGGTTTGCAGGATGGGCCAGCTCTGCAGGCCCAGGACTCACGGGATGTCCGGTGGGTCGAAGGCGGTCTTGATAACACCGGCATAGATGGCGAGGATGGACAGCACCACGCAGGCCAGGAACACCAAGGCCAGCTTGTTGACATACTTGACGCCCACGAAGACCACCATGGCCATGAGCACCAGCGTGCATGTCCCGTACACGCGCATGTTGTGCAACATGGCCGTGGCCTCACCTTCCGCAGTCTCTGCCTGGATGATGGCCGCACTGGGGGAGATGTAGGTCTGCGGGGGACGGACAGGGTCAGGAAGGGCCGTCAAGCACCCCTGCCTGGAAAGTAGCCCCACGGGGAGGCACCTCTGTCTGCAGGGGCTGGTGCTGGGCTCCCTCCCCTGCTGGGGGCCACCACCACCAGAACGCATTCACAGTAGGCCCCAGGGGTGCCAAGAAATGAGAGCAGAGAGGGAAGACTGCAGAGAGACGCTGCCCTGGGGTCAGTGTCGTGGAAGCCAGCCTGTGGACAGCACCCCCAGCTCAGCCTGCAGGCCGGGGGCCACCATGCCCTGACAATCTGGGAGCGAGAACGTCTCTGAGGGAGGCCCTACTGAACACATGCAACACAAACTGAGTGGGGACGACGGGACAGACCAATTCCTGGGCAGCCCTCTCCTCCAACAGCTGAGGCCCTGAAGGCCATGGCCGCATGGCTGACCCCGGGCTCAGGTTTGCAGCCTGTCACACACACAGACATCGACCTGGCAAGAACCCTGGCGGCTGAGCCCAAGGGCAGCCGGGGACACAGGGGTCACTGCTGCACGGGCAGGGTCGCCAGCCACGGTGGAGCCCCTGAGAGCCCGAGGCAGGCGTCAGAGTGAGGGGGCCGGCTGAGGGGGCCCGTGTGCCTTGGGAGGGACTCCTCAGCGTCTGTAAAACCAGCCCAAAACAAGGCACTTACCAAAAAAATCTCAATGGTCCCCAAAATATACATGGCCCCGGCGAAGGTCGTGCCCAGGTAGAAGCAGAGGCCAACGGCACCCCCGAACTCAGGCCCCAGGGACCGCGATATCATGTAGTACGAGCCACCAGCTGCCAACGGGACAGAGAAGCTGCAGGTCAGTGGCACACCATTTACTGTGAGGCCAACGCTGGACCCAACACCGCGATTCTGTGCACTTTGCCCCAAAAAGGCCGAGGAAGCCTGTGGCTGCTGGAGCACCGTCCTGCACCAGAGCACGCCCGATCCCGGACCCGGCTGGTGGACAAAGACACATCACTGTGGATCCACACATCCACACCGCTGCCATGCGCCGGGGCACGGAGCCTCTGGGGACAGGCGGCCTCCCCAGGACCTGGAGACGCAGCACAGCGTCCCTCCCGGCCCTCGTCGCCTGAGGCCCCTGCCCACCCAGCCGAGCACCCCCGGCCCAGACCGAGGGCCATCCCCAGAGCCCCCACAGCCCCTCTGCTCTCCAGGCCTCTACACCGGCCACACAGTGCTGGTGGCAGGCGCTGCCCACCCTGGCGCTTTGGTTTATTTCCAGATAATGAGGGTCTGGGAGAAATTAACTCCAGAAGCAAAAGCAGGAAGCGACTCCTAAAATGGCAGTATCTCCAACCACAGATCAAAGGCGAGATTTCCTAAGAAAGTTCGGGAAGTGTTCACGTAGGTTCCCACAGGGAGCAGAATCCCAATGTCATAGCACCCTGAGTGCAGGGTCAGGCGCTGCAGACAAGTGTACGCAGGGGCCCCACCTTGGTCTCAGGACAGCCCATGGTGCTCTCAGGGGAAACAAGACGCCTCCCAGGACACCAGGCACCAGCTCTCGGTGCACCGGTGAGAGCCAGGAGCCCGTGAGCACCTCTGCCTGGAGGCGGGGTCCCTGGTGATGGCTTCCGGGGGAGCCTGGCTGTGCAGAGGTTGTCCCCAGTCTGCCTGCCTGCCTGCCCACCAGATGTGGAGGTCTCCGTCCTCCAGGCTGGCCACCAAGCAGGGAAGGGCACATGCACACTGGGGCCCTGTGGGGCAGAGTGCTGCCCGCCTTGGCGGAGGCCGCCCTGGATGGGGTCCCCGGCAGGGCTCGGCTCGGGACCCCACACGGCCTGCCCCAGCACCCTTACCTGGGACCACACCGTTGGTGGCGATGGCACTCATGGAGATGGCTGTCAGCATCGTCTGCAAAGACACAGGTGATCCTCTCACAGGAGAGGGCACCTCGGGGGCCACACCCGGCCCCACCTCAGAGGGGTGCGGAGCAGTCAGGCACACAGGCTCCAGGATGCTCAGGGCTGCCCCCAATCTCCCACTCAATGCCCCAAGCTGAGCTCCTGCAGGCCACCCAGAAATACCCAACTCAGGACCCCACCTGGAATGAAAGTCCGGCTCCTGCCTAGGTGCTCACCCGCCGTGGGGTGCAAGAGGGACCCCATCTGGGTGCCCGCCTGCCATGAGGTACAAGGGGAACCCCGTCTGGGTGCCTGCCCTCGGGGCTGGATGCAGGACCTCCAGAGCTGTCCCGGGCGGGTCTGCCTCCAGTGCCCAGCACAGCTCAGAAGTGACTGCACTACAGGCTGGGGGGCAGCCAGCAACCGAAGGACCAGAAGGAACAGCCTCGGGAGAGCTTAGGGCCTCAATGGTCCCACCGGGCACAGCTTTGGCTGAAGGCCCCACTTGAAGAAGCCCCTGGTCCTTATCCTGATTTTTATCTGGTTTTATGGCAACTACTCCAGATCCGTCCGATTTCCCCAGTAAAAGAAACATCACAGGAGAAAGGACATGATGCAATTTAGAAGGTGAGGCCACAGCCGCGATGCCGCGGGGGGCACAGCCTGCGTTGTCTGAATTCTTGGGGCCGGAGCACTCCCACCTGGGGATGGGAGGAGCCGAGTTCCGGTCTCCACGGCAAGAGTGGGGCAGGCGAGCCTGAGGCCGCCACAGCAGGTGCCCAGGACGTGCAGGGGCCACGGCCAACCCAGGAGCGGTGGGAAGGGGGCCTGGTTCACTGAGCGCCACTGGACGCAGACGCCTGGGGACGCACGGGGGTGGGGAGCCAGGATTGGGGCTGAACAGGCCACTGGCATGGGCCCCTCCTTCAAACAGGGAGCCCAGGCACTTGTGAACTGGAAGGGACCGTGTCAAAACGCGGGTCCTCACGCATGCTGACCGTGCCCCCAAAAGCCCCCAGCCACGTCCTCCCCCCAGGCGCAGGGGTGGGAGTCCCGCCGGCCCCGATTTCCCTCCACGGCACCAGCGCTCGAGGAGGCTGCCCTGGGCAGGGCCCCGGGGGGGGGGGGGGGGGCTCAGCACTCACGCAGGTGCAGCACATGAACACAATAAGGAAGGACTCCAGCACGCCGGCCGCCCCCACGATCCACGTCAGTCGCAGAAAGAGGATCACCCCGAGGATGTTCTGGAGGCACGGCAGATAGACGCCAATGAAGGTTCCCATGCGCGGGCTCTGAAATCAGAGAGCACGGCAGTTCCGGGGGGCCGGCCACGGCAGCCACCCGGGGACGGCAGGTGCAGACGGGAGGCCGCGCAGGCTGCACGGCTCTAGGAAGCCAGGCCACCCCTGGAAGGGAGGGTTTGGGAGGAATCCTCAAGAGGGCAGGTTTGGGAGGACCGGAGACCACGTCGCTGCCAGGGGGCAGGGAGGGGGCCACGAGGGCAGCCACGGCAGCGTCGGGGAAGCTGAGAGCGGGACGAGCCAGGCCCCGCCCAGCAGGCGGGCAGCAGCCTAGGGTTCCGGAGGCCCAGGCGGCCACTGACGCAGGAGGGAGACGGGCAGCTGCCCCCAACCACGCCGAAGTCCCCGCAAAGTCAGCAGTGCCTCAGTCAAACCCGCCGGGAAGTTCCGACAGGACACGAGGCCGCGTGAGCCCAGGGGGCCATCTCCGGGGTGACCGAGGACGCAGTGCTGGGCGGTGCCTGACAGGGTGTCCTCTGAGATCCTGGAGGCCACCAGGGCTCAGCACACCAGCCGGGCGGGCAGGCGGCCAGCAGCCAGGCCAGAAGCCTGCACAGAGGGCAGACCCCGCTAGGGTCCCAGCCCATCCTGTCCCACAGGTGGCGTAACACCGCAGTCAGGGGCACACTCGAGATCTCGAGACTGACTGAAAACAATGCTCAACGGGAAAATATCTCAAACTCAGGTGAGTAAAAGAATCCACACAACTGGGGAAGATTTGCTTTGCAAACGTTTGCTGCGAGTAGAGAGGCTGCAGACAAGGGCCTGGGAGGCCAAGGGCCCAGGAGGCGGCTCTGCTGGCCTGCACCCACATTCAGGGAGGCAGGCGGGCTTCTCAGGGTCCAGGGACTGGCGCGCACCCAGGAACGCCTGTCCCCATGAGCCGGGGCGGGTCAGGGCCGCAGAGCCCCATGAGATCCCCGGGAAAAGACTCTGAGACACAGGGGATCCCTGGGCCCGGAGCCTGGGACACTCAGCTCCCTTCTAACGCAGGGCCTGTGTGGCGCCCCCAGCCCACACCCTACCCACCCACAGGGCCCCCAGAGTGGTCACAGGGCCGGCAAACACCCAGGGACTTCCCCGTTGTGTGAAATGGGACAGTGGTGCCAGGCAGGGTGCGGCTGCTCAGTCACGGTTCGATTACCGCGCTAGGCAGCCATTCCCAGCCGCTGCAGGGTGTCCCCTGATGTCCTGTAGGCGGTGGCTGGGCAGACCCCGAGTCACCCTGGAAGGGCAGGACGGGCCTCCCACTCTCTCCTAAAGGCAACTTTGATGATCAGCCCAGCTGCACGCGAGGTCCAGAGCCCTGGAAATGGCACCCTGCGGGGGGCTGGGTCTCTGGACACAACCTCCTGTCCTCGGGCGGACACGGTGGACGTAAGGGCAGTCTCCACACAAGGACCTGATCAGTCCCCAGTGGGGCGGATGATTCATCCCAATCAGAACCCGTCCACCTGTCTACAGGACGACTGTGCGGGCCGCTCCTGCGACCGCAGGGGACAGGGGAGACAGTGAGGGGCCAGCGGGGGGGCAGCAGGGTCCACCGTGGGCTCCACAAGGCAAGCAGAGCCGGGCCAACCACAGGAAAGCCCGGTCCTGCAGGCAGCGGATGGCACCCTGGGACACAAGCTCCAGTGGACAGACCGACAGTTCTGTGCCGGCCGCACAGAAAAGGCCTGTGGCGCTCAATCCCACAGCATCCATGACTGTCACCTGCCCACACGGTGTCACGGGGACCACTGTCCCCACTGTCCTCTGCCCCAGGAGGGCGGCCAGAGCGAGGCCGGGCCAGGAAGCCCTCACACCCGTCTACCGCTCTGTGCAGAACGCAGGACAAACACCCCCGAGTGTCAAGGAAAAGCAGGACCTATCCTGCTGCGTTTCCGACACGCAGTCTCCTCCGTGGCCAGACTTCCTAATGGCCAAGGTCAGGCTGGACACAGGCGCTCGGGGAGCAGGCAGGCCTCCGTGCACGCAGGGGGCCTGGCATCCCAGTCACGTGGCTGGTGCCAGGCAGGGTGGACACAGAGGGGGAAGGGGCGGCCGTCAGGAAACCCAGGCCTTTCACCGGCTTCCACGCGACTGCACCCAGCTGGCGGGAGCCCCGCAGGAACGCCGACCCCCTCGTGGGGCCAGGCACTCCGACCTCAGCACTCCCCATGCTGCCTTTGTCCCGCTCACTGCAGAGGCCACTTTTCACCCTTAACTGAGCCACGTGCAGCAGAGAGGAAAGGGGTCACGTTTGACTGGGACTTGGGGAATGCCCCAGGGAGGACGACGGCAGGGGGGTGGGGGGGACGGGGTAGCGGGGTGATAGACATTGGGG